CTAGGGTTTTACAGGTCTGCTCGCTATCATCCTATTCTACCGGCGGACTATATTAAAGGCTTTGCCGCAGCCTTCAGGATTAATTTATACCTAGTTTGTAACCTGTAAAAAAATACATCCTTAGTAAAATAATATAACTGTCTGAATGGGGCAATAAAAAGCAAACATTAATGAAAAACGTGATTCACTTGTGGTCAATTTGATAGATGGTATTTTATTAATAGAGTAATGAATTTCTTAAATGCGCTAATAAAATTAGTTACTTTAATAGCAATTGATTCAATAACTATAAGATTTCGAGGACACTATTTACAGTGTCATAAGTTCTGGTATTATTGCTCTTATAAGTAAACCTATTTACCTAATTATAATGTAAGGTAGGACCTTTAATATTTCGTGCTGAGTAAGTTTTCGAGACTACTAGTAAATCAGATTTATGAGTTATGTTCACTCTGTTTTGTGAAAGGGGTGAAAGGACTGGTAGTTGAATTTTCCAACAATGATATGAGTATAGTTGATGTATGCATCAAGTTTTCATAGCCTTGCTTTCCCAAAAAGCGTTCTCATCCAGACTGGACTGCAGTTTCGACCTCGCCTATGTTTTATCGACACCACCAGTGAAGTCGAACTATAGCAATGCAGCATGTAATCTTGACACGGTAACTACTAGGCCATATTGCCACAAATGTCCTTGGGTCATAGAGTAGACTTTTATTTCAATAAAGACCAGGCATTTTCCAATAGCATATTCTGTGGTAGGATTGTTGATAAGGCGAATTTATACTTGCTGCACCAATCGACGACATTACTCATAATTAATTTAAAGACCACCTTGGATAATGACGCCTTTTGGGACTATGTGAAATTCATTGGAAACATCAGCTCTACTCATATCAATGTGACAAAATTTAACTAACAGTCCGACATCACCTTAAACGAAACAGGGTGAACATAACTCATGGACTTTCAATGACTCTACCAATTTATCATAAAAAGTACAAATCATAGAAAAGAAAATCCACCTGTTTCTGTCGCTGTGTCTTCTTAGTTGACTTGCCCATTGATGCAGTGATATTTGGTATAATCATCGACTGCTGTTGTTGTTGTTCATCTTTTAAAGATGATTCCTGAATACTTTCAATCTTGCAAGCCTTTCCCAAGGGCGTGTCAGGGGCCTGAGTAGCTGCAGCATCAATGGCACTGGCTGTGGCGCTAGAACTGGCCCAAGTCACTGCATCCTTCCGCTCAAGACAGATATCTGGTGATGGAATAGCACTGGTAGCATCCCGCCCTATCGCTTGGGCAAGCTGGCCAAGTGAAAGCAGTGCCTCGACGTGGTAGCCCACACTAACTGACTCGGCGCGCCGCCAGCGAGACTCGCGCTGTAGAACAGTCCAAAGCTAGAGGAGAGAAAAGGATGTTTAGTTTAGCCTATTATATAAAAAGCTTGCTTTCTGTGATTAGATTTAATGTTGAACCACAACGTTTGTGGGCTGGCACACAAGAGACTAGGAAGTCCTAGACTTGGTATTACGGATAGAAAAAAGATAGACGCGGAAGAGACTGGAGCTAGTTGGCTGACAGTAGGTTTTAGCAGAAATGTGGGCCATGTAGCAATGGCTTGACCATTAGATTTACTCAGAGGCTTTAGCCTCGAATTAGTCACTTAGACGTAGGGGAGGGGTAATAACGCATCGAGTAGCACAGATGGGGTGGCAGGGGTCGAGTGAAATATTTGAACAAGGGAGATAGAGGATGGATCTTACGGGGCAAGAGAGAGTTTCTAATAAGACCTAGAGAAGGACTGCGTAACAATATTGCAGACTCTGATCAAAATTCTCTGCACAAGAGGGGATGAGAACGCCAGTGTGGAGTGGAGGGTTTTCATGAATGTCGCTCAAAATAGCACACCACGCCACATCTTAAAAAGCACGAAAAAAATTGTAACAGTGAAGGCGTGATAGGAGGATATAGGAAATGTGAATAGCCCAGGGCAGAAGAGTAGATACCACAAATGTTTAGAACACTTTTGGTTAACGGATTGGCTTCACATGTCCCTTTGAGGAGTTTTTGTGTGGTGTTAAGAATGGCACGACTCATTGAAGATGCCGGCAAAACGTCTAGGAATGTACCACGTCCACAGTCCGACTTTGGAAATTATCATGCGTACAATGGACTCGGATCAGGTGTGTTCCTCTATGTCTTTCTACTAATATGACTAAGTTGTGAAAACAAGGTCAAACAACTTGTATATTTTGTATAAATTATCATTATCCATCTAGA